CAGGGGGTTGGGAGAGCCCTTGTATTTTCTTATCTTTATATCAGAGAGAAAGAATTGTCTGTGAGCCCTCTTGGAAAACTTTGTGGCCCTGTTTCAACCCCCTCACCTACTGTTTCTCAAAAAGGACACTGCCCAGGACTTCATACATAACTAGGCATTTTGGATCTATTACCAGACATGACAGGTAAATCACAATGTATTGTCAATCAAATTTGTGGTCATCTTCACAATGTCAAGATATTACAAACTCTATCTTATATAACTCTGTCTTATACCTTGACATTATTTGCCACTTTCTCGACTACAACAGCCACTATCTCTTGGATCCCTTCCGGGACAGTATGAGTTGAATAAGACCCACCTTCACCATGCCAAGATGTTACTAACTCTGTCTTATACCTTGACATCATTAGCCACTTTTCTTGCATCACAGAATGCAGTGATTTGATTGGATATACAGAAAATACAGCCAATACAGCCAATCAGGGCACTTGAGATAAAGTCTTACTGTATTTGCTAATGTAAAATACTATCAAATCACTGCATTTACAAACTCCTGTGAGACAAAAAGTGTTTAATGATGTATATATAAGACGAAGTTTGTAATAGCTTGACATTGTGAAGATGAAGTTTGTAATAGCTTGACATTGTGAAGATGTAGTTTGTAATAGCTTGACATTGTGAAGATCAAGTTTGTAATAGCTTGACATTGTGAAGATGTAGTTTGTAATAGCTTGACATTGTTAAGATGTAGTTTGTAATAGCTTGACATTGTGAAGATGTAGTTTGTAATAGCTTGACATTGTGAAGATGTAGTTTGTAATAACTTGACATTGTGATGATGAAGTTTGTAATAGCTTGACATTGTGAAGATGTAGTTTGTAATAGCTTGACATTGTGAAGATGTAGTTTGTAATAGCTTGACATTGTGAAGATGAAGTTTGTAATAGCTTGACATTGTGGAGATGTAGTTTGTAATAGCTTGACATTGTGAAGATGTAGTTTGTAATAGCTTGACATTGTGAAGATGAAGTTTGTAATAGCTTGACATTGTGAAGATGTAGTTTGTAATAGCTTGACATTGTGAAGATGAAGTTTGTAATATCTTGACATTGTGAAGATGAAGTTTGTAATAGCTGGACATTGTGAAGATGAAGTTTGTAATAACTTGACATTGTGAAGATGTAGTTTGTAATAGCTTGACATTGTGAAGATGAAGTTAGTAATAGCTTGACATTGTGAAGATGTAGTTTGTAATATCTTGACATTGTGAAGATGAAGTTTGTAATAACTTGACATTGTGAAGATGAAGTTTGTAATAGCTGGACATTGTGAAGATGAAGTTTGTAATATCTTGACATTGTGAAGATGAAGTTTGTAATAGCTGGACATTGTGAAGATGAAGTTTGTAATAGCTGGACATTGTGAAGATGAAGTTTGTAATAGCTTGACATTGTGAAGATGAAGTTGT